TGGTTTTTCTGGTTGGTTCGATTCCAACATTGATTCTTACATTTATGGCACGAACTGTCTTCGCTTTACGTAAAGGTTCTTTGTTTCTTGTTAAAATTTCAACACGAGTCTCCTTTCTAAAACAGGATGCGGGTTACCGATATTATTATGAAACTATTACTAAATTATCGAGGAAAATATGGCGAAAATATTTATTATTTTTTTTATTATAATAGAACATTCTCCACTTTTTTTTTTTATGCATTGCAACGACACGAGGTAACAAAAAATTATTAAATTTTAGAATAATTTAGAACAATAAATATGACAAGCGATATCTCCTTGATTTATTTTCAATTTCACACTAAAATGACAAGAACGAACGTCTTCGCTTTGCCTATTAATTGATTCTCGTTCGGTATATATAATTATTAGATAAATTAAGTTGATCAAATGTGATCAACAATCAGAATGTAGAAAAATATCTTTAAATTAAACTTTGGCTTTATCTATCATGGTTCGTAATGATACTGCAAAAAAACTCGTAAGGATAAATGAGACTGACGTAATATACTTAGCTGGTCTTAAACGTAATATGCTTGGCTTGATGACGAGTTTTTATCACGTTAAATACGATGGCATGGTTCATCGATAATTTTTCTTCTCTCTATCTTGTTAAGAATAATTCAACATCATTCTAAATACAAATATGGATTATAGCGAATTCACATTTGAAAATTCTTCTGCGAATAATGATTCACAAACGGTTGAGAATGATGATGATACACGTTCAGAAGCTCTTTCGGGCTATCAATCAGATGGTATGTGATTGCATTCGCATTTTATTCAAAATCAAAATTATTAATTTAATCTTTTGCATTCCTATAGAATCTCTGGTAACAGAATACGCCTCTGCATTTGAAGAGGATGATGATGAAACGGATCTTACACAAGAGGAGTGCTGGGAAGTTGTGTCATCATTTTTCAAAAATAAAGGAATTGTACGACAACAGTTGGATTCTTTTGATGACTTTATTGAGCGTGGTCTAGTTGAAGTTATAAACGAAACCCCAATGCAAGCGATTAGATATTCTGATTTTGAAGATGGGCGAGAAATAATGGTTTGATTTCTGTACTATTTTTATATGGAATATATTTTACGATTTTTTTTTTTAAAAAAAAAAAATACATATATATATACAAAATTAGACTCAATACCGTTTCGAGTTTGATAAGCCATCATTTACTAAACCTCAATTTTCCGAGCCTGAGGGTATTAAAAAGCAATTGTTCCCGAACGAAGCTCGCTTAAGGGGTTTAACGTAATTAATTTAAATCGAATTCCATAATATTATGTATATCGAAGCTCATCAGTTTTTTTCTTTTTCTTGTATAGGTACTCATCCCCGTTGTTCTTAAATATGAAACTTTTTATATCAAAGCTAATCATAAACAGTTATGATGAAATCGATTATAACGAAAATGATTTCAAAGGATATGAGGAGACTGTGGTTGATGAACCGGTATTTTTTGGAAAGGTAACTTTGTTTCAAAATTAATAATTACAATTTATTATGACGATAATATGATATAAATTTTCTTATTTCAAAAATAGATTCCTGTTATGGTACATTCTAAATTTTGCTCTTTAGCTGGTTTGACTTTTGAGGAACTGAAAGAACATCATGAATGTCCATATGATCAGGTATAATGAATTTAACCTTCTTTTAACATATAATATCCCACATGCTAATTTTACTTCATTTTAGGGTGGTTACTTTATCATAAACGGTTCCGAAAAAGTTCTAATAGCTCAAGAAAGATTAGCCTACAATTACGTCTATATCTTTAAATATGCTTCGCCGTCGACTACCTTGTATAGCGCGGAATTTCGTAGTTCTACCGAACACATGTCAAAAGTAAGAACTGTAAACTTGAAATTGGTTACGAGAACTTTTGCCGGAGACGTAAGTTCTTATACAATTTAAAGATCAATAATTTATTTACTCTGTTTCATTGTAAAATATGTATTATTTATTTATTCAACCTTTTAATTAATTATTAGAAAGCTGAACCATTCATACACGTCGCTTTGCCTTTTATTAAAAAGGATATTCCAATTAGAGTTTTATTTCTTGCCCTCGGAATCCTCAACGATGAGGACTTCATCGATTGTATTTGCCTTGATTCTCACGATCCTGAAATACTCAAAATTGTACTATCTTGTATTGACGAAACGCGTGCAATTCAGTCGCAAAATGTACTGTACTTGTTTTATATTCAATTCTCATAAAAAAATATAACAAACATTTATTTCATTAATTTTCTAATATTGATTTATTTTTTAAAAAAAAAGATCGCTCTAGATTTTATTGCGCGCAGAGGAAATACATCTAACGCGGTTCGGGAGAAACGTATCGAGTAAGTATTGGCTTAAATTATTGATTTTATTGCAAATTTGTTAAAATCATAATATGATGTTATAAAAACTATATGATGCATACCGTAGGTATGCGAAAAACATTATATATAACGAATTTCTGCCTCATGTTGGAGTAGGAATAGGCTTCAATTTAACTAAAGGATATTTTTTGGGATATTTGGCGCATAGACTTTTACTCTCTACTCTTGATCGTCGAGAACTTGATGATCGAGATCACTTTGGCAAAAACGCCTTGATATGGCTGGTCCTCTAATGATTTCATTATTTCGCACTTTATACAAAACAGTTTTAAATGATATGGCTGCTTATTTTAGAAAGGTAAATAAAAAGATTTTTTTTTTACAAGTTTTTTAAAATTTAATTATGTGTTCACACGTTTGTTTTTTCGATTATTCTCTTTGATTAGTGTATTTCTAGTAAACGCGAATTCAAATTACCTTTAGCGTTAAGACTACATAAAATTACCAATGGATTTAGATACTCAATTGGTACCGGTAATTGGGGAGATGCCAAAAAGGCAAAGCAGGCAAGTTACTTTATCTTGGAAAAAAAATTCATATCGTATTATTATTAATCCCGTTCCTCTTCAATAGTCCAGGTCTGGTGTTTCACAAGTCCTAAACAGATTCACTTATGTATCAACTATATCACATCTTCGAAGATGTAATGCTCCAATTGGACGCGAAGGAAAGTTCACGAAACCGCGTCAACTTCATAATACACATTGGGGTTACATATGCCCTGCTGAAACTCCTGAGGGACAAGCCTGCGGTCTAATGAAAAATCTAGCGCTAATGTCATACGTCTCAGTGTCTATTCCATCTGATATTTTAAATGAATTTATTAACAGTTGCGGAATCTGTCAAAACATTAATGAAACACCGTTTGATAACATTGTTAAATTCACAAAAGTTTTTGTCAATGGAAATTTGACCTGTATTACCGATAGACCTTTGGATTTAATAAAATCTATTCCGGAGATTAAGGGAAATTCTCTTCCGGCCGATATTGGAATTGTTAACGATATACTTGTGAATGAAGTAAGATTCTACAGTGATTCAGGAAGAATGTGTAGACCATTATTTGTCGTCGAAGATCAGCATTTAGTTTTGACTTCAGATACTTTATCAAAATTAAAACTGGTAAGTAAATATTTACACACATATAAATATATACCTATTATTTTAAATTCACTCTTTATATCATATCGTTATTAATTAATCAATAGGAGATAGCACAGGAGGCAAACCAAAGTTTATGGGAGGCATTAGTATTAGAGCGTTACATCGAATATATTGATGCTGAAGAGGAAGAATCTACCATGATATGTATCTCTCCGGATGAATTATATGAGTCGAGATTGTATAATTTACGTAAACTTGAAGGTTTAAGACCAAGAAGGAAAAGACGATCGGTCCATGAACGTCTAATTAATTTACCAACTTATCCAAATAAGTGGACTCATTGTGAAATTCATCCAAGTATGATTTTGGGTGTTTCCGCCAGTCTAATTCCATTTTCTGATCATAATCAAGTAAGATAATACACAAATTAAAATAAATTAATGATGATTTTTACAAAAATTTATTAACCCATATTCAATATTTCATAATTAGTCTCCTCGAAATACCTATCAATCCGCTATGAGTAAGCAAGCAATGGGGATTTACGCGACTAATTTTCGATTACGAATGGATGTATTGGCCAATTTGTTGTATTATCCTCAGAAACCTCTTGTAACCACAAAAGTTATGGAATATCTTCAATTCAGAGAATTACCTGCTGGGATCAATGTTATCGTAGCTATTATGTGTTATGGAGGGTACAATCAAGAAGATTCTTTGATTATAAACCAAAGTAGTGTTGACAGGGGATTGTTTAGAAGCTTTTCTTATCGACGTTACCTTGATCAAGAAAAAAAAGTGGTACAGTAATTATTTAGATTACAATTTTAATATTTATTAATATATTTAAACCGTTTTTTTTTTTTTAAAAAAAAAAAACATAAAGGGCGTTTTGAACATGGAAGATATAACCAAGCCAAATCCTTATACGACCCTTGGATTAAAACGTGGAAATTATGAGAAACTTGATGACGATGGGATCGTACCTTGTGGGGTTCGAGTTTGTGGAAATGATATTCTTATAGGAAAGGTGTCCACACTTTCACCTGAAGATGAATTGCTTGGCCAACGAAAAGAATCTCATGTGTATCGAGATGTTTCTACGCCATTAAGATCTACTGAACATGGAATCGTTGATCAAGTAATTGTTACCACAAACCAAGACGGAGCTAAATTGGTGAAAGTTGGAGTTAGAAATACGCGAATTCCTGAAATTGGAGATAAATTCGCAAGTCGTCATGGTCAAAAAGGAACCATTGGAATCAATTATCGTCAAGAGGATATGCCATTCACTGCTGACGGAATTACACCAGATATTATCATAAATCCACATGCTATTCCTAGCCGTATGACGATCGGACATTTAATTGAATGTTTAATGGGAAAGGTATAGTAAAAAGATATTTTTAAAACCATACAGTATATACGTGGCTTAATTCTAACTTGCGATTGTATACATTTGTTCATAAAGCTTTCAGTGTTTTCGGGTAGTGAAGGTGATGCTACAGCTTTTTCTGAAGTTACCGTAGAATCCATTTCGCGAAAACTTGGTTCTTTTGGATTCCACCGTCGTGGATTGGAAGTTATGTATAATGGTCATACTGGACGTAAATTAGCCGCACAAATTTTCATTGGACCGACTTATTATCAACGGTTAAAACATATGGTCCAAGATAAAATTCAGTAAGTCTTTTCCATATAGTATACAATTAATTAATTTAGAATTGCACTAAATATAAATTGAATATATATAGTTCACGCGGAAGGGGTCCAGTTAATATATTAACTAGGCAACCAGTTGAGGGGCGTAGTCGTGAAGGAGGATTAAGATTTGGTGAAATGGAACGAGATTGTATGATTTCTCACGGGACAGCCTTATTTTTGAAGGTATTTTGTATTATATGAATTTCAAAATCTTTTAGATTTATTGCTTGCTTACGATATTTTCATTTGTAAAAAAAAAAAACTATTATTATAGGAACGACTTAATGATGTCGCAGATGCTTATAGAATTCATGTGTGTGATATTTGTGGACTGATGTGTATAGCACAAGTTTCGAAAAAAGTTTATATTTGTAAAATTTGCAACAACACCACACAGGCGAGTTTAAAGTCTAGATATATTATTGTTTTTATTTTTTTATATTTAGTAGTAAATTTATTTTATTACTTTTTCTTTTATAGATTTCTCAAGTACAAATTCCATATGCGTGTAAAATACTTTTCCAAGAGCTAATGTCCATGAATATCTCTCCAAGATTAATGTTTTCAAAATGATTATGATGAATATATTGCTTGTTAGTTCTATATTTTTAATTTGTAATCTTATTGCTAGGTTATTTTATTTATTTTAGATTATTTAGAATATATATATTAGTATAATTTTGAAGCATTATTTTAGCTGTTTTGTTTTATGTAAAATAAAATTTTACCAACCGAATTATCCGTTTGTTGAGCGGAATCTTAACTCTTTCATTAATATCCGATGGGATATTTATTTTTAATGGTTAACATTTGCTATCATCAAAATTCATCCCCGCTTGTCGAAATAGGACTGCTAAGGCAATAAAAATCGAAATTTTGTTAAAAAATTCCAGAACCTGATTTTACCCATTTTCAAAATTTCTAATGAAATATAAACCTTGATCATATAAGATAAACTTGTTCCTTAAAATAATAAGGTATATTATCGCATACCAAAAATTATAGCTTACTCTACAGTTTTTATAACATAGATTTGCCATCGAGGATATATACAGTACATCAGATATACCAAAAGAGATGCATTTAATTGTATTATTGTTCCAAAGCGAATATCTCTTGTTCCTAAGATGAAAGATTCTGATTGGTAATTCGTATCAAAAAGTTATCGTCGATTCTTTCTTCCCTATCCGAGTTAATGTGTTATTTATGGAAATTGTAGAACGCTCTGCCATTGCATCGCGCCATATTTATTATCCAAAATTTCAATGTTATCCTGTTAGAAAAAAGTACTTGTTAACAATGAAGGATTTCATGTTTGAAATTTTAGCAAGTTTGCTTCATCTCCTTAGTTGGTACCTTTACGTAAAGCGAAGACAGTTCGTGCCATAAATGTAAGAATCAATGTTGGAATCGAACCAACCAGAAAAACCA